TCGCTAGATTCTGAGGCAGGCCCAGCATATCACTTATTAACCACTTATTTATGAAGCGCATTGTTCACTTATCTGGGGATTATTATACACGGACACAAATGGCAGGAAGCCACAGGGAAACCCAGCACTTCAAACTACCAAACCTCTGCAACACGCTGTGAAAGTAGGAGGCAAATGACAGCACCTGGGTCTCCCTTTTTCCGTCTGCACGGCCCTTCCTCAACTACCTAGCTAGAAGGTGGATGCAGGTGCTTGGTTTCAAACACTGAACCAGGCCAGCATGAAGCTTTCTGACTACTCCAGTCTGCAAGAAGCAAAATGAGGTGGTGGGGAAAAGACCCCTCTGGAAGAGGTACTGATTTTAGGTACCCGGAAAAGAGTAAGTGCTGGTAACTTCAGAATGCAACAATTGGGGCCAACAGGTGGTGGTGGTGGTTTGAGTTGGATCCCCACATGGCTTATGTGGTTCAAGTCCCAGACATGGTGGCTTGCTTTCTCACTGTCTGTCTCTGCCTCCCCCTCCCTTTCTCTTTCTGTTTCTCTCTGGTGAGTACACATGCCCTATAGCAAATTTAAAAATAATGAATAAAATAAAATAAAATTCTTAAAAAAAAAAAAAAGAATGCAACGATCAACGATTTCTTCCAGATTCAAAATGAATCATATCTAAGCAATGAAAGGTTAAATGATTCAACTTGTTGACAGTAGAAGGGCAACTCTGCAAATGGAATTCCGACCTCTGCCTTCTAACCTACTTGCTATATTAACAAATTTGCAACAGTGGGTTGATTTTCCCACTATGGGACTTGACTTACCACACTTCACAGCTTAGCCTAGGTTACACTGCAAATGCTATAGTTACATACTTTTAATCCTACTAGTTTAAATGGATTCTTGTAAAGCAGGAATATTTATTCAGGGGCTGGATGATGGTACAGTGGTAAAAACATAAAGGTCCGTGAGGCAATCCTACCCAGGAAGGTTCCTGGTGCAAGTCCAGAGACCTCTCTGATGAAACAGTACATATGTGTGCCCTTCCTCCAGGGCTGGCTGAAGCTCAGGGTGGACTGTGGTGTCAAGACCCAGCTGGGAGTACTATCTTTCTGTCTCTGCCTCCTTCACTCATGGGAGAAATAAATAAATTTTAAAAAGAAATATTTATTCAATGTATTCTTCCCTCTGTATATTTCTCTGTAACAAGTCCCAATATCATACTTTTTGTTCTTGTATAAATAGCATCAACATAAAAGCATTAACAAAACAATGCTTGGCAAGGTAAAATTTAGCCAACTTCTATAGATTCTGTAAGCAAGTCTTATAAGAAAAAAGTCGAGGACCAGCAGATGGTATAATGGTTATATCTCTGGACTCCCACATGGCTGACTGCAGTTTGAGTCCTGGACCAGAAAGCTTAAAACTTACATTGGGCATGTGTGCGTGTGCATGTGTGCCCAAAATTCTGAGAGGATAAGGGATTATGATGTGGCCATCCCCCCTGGGGGGTGATTTCTTGCTTTCTGTCTCTTTGTCTGTCTCTGTCTCTCTGGCAATTGCATGCCCCCTATGGAAAAAAAAAAACTCTTAAAAAAAAAAAAGAAAAAAGAAGTTGATAGCAGAAAGTTCACAATTGCAGCTATTGTTGCTACCAAGAGAAATGTTACTAAATAAGTCATGAAGCCGAGTGTGGGTGAAGGAAACACTGATGCACATCACTCTTTCTGCTGGTCCTCTCTCTGCCAGTACCTGAGAGGGAACGCAGTAGTGAGCTCAGCAAGTGTGAGTGGAAAGACATTTATATGTCTATGCACAGTTACTCTTGTAAATCCCATTCCTTGTAGATGTCACCTTGGAGTTGAAGGAAGGAGTTTTACAAACTCGGAAACATTACTGAAAATGTATATAGCCATAAATATGTAGCCACTGCTCTCTGAGAACATCTGCAGTTCATTTTTACATATGGAAGTACTGCATAGCTAGGCCAAATGACTGTCAAAACAAATGCCCTGCAACTGTTACCCGACCCATGGGACAGGTACGACCGACTTACTGTGAAATGCAGAACTAAATCAACTTATCGGCCTCATGTACAAACGATGGCAGGTCAACATTAGTTTTGAATTTTTGGTCTCTGCCAAGTTTGAAGCACCTGTATGTAACGCTGTTCGGTTCTCGTGCCTGTTTAGACTATATCCTTCACAAGGAGTTCTGCTGTAGTGACGTGAGAGTGGGTGAACTGGGCGATTTCTCGACATTGTTTTGACTTCTAATTTCCAGGGAGGGAAAAAATCTCCATGAGACCCCTGTGTGCTGAGGCTGAGGATGGGGTGCCCCAGGGAATAGCCTCTCCATGGGGGCATCTCTCTTTTTCTTCTGCCCGTTTGTTTTTCTCATAGGTCCATAAGCCTCTGAAGGGAAGCTCAGCTTGGTGCTTTCAGAAGAAAGAGGACAGCAGATCCTGGGTTTGAGGTGAGCAGCTGCAGACTAAGGAGATAGGCCCAGTCTCTGTGAGTCCATACAGGCCTATTACACTCATCCAAGACACATATGAATCACATTTCCCAAGGACCCTGGCCCATCCCTCACGTGGGGCAGCTGGGTGCCCTGAGCCTCAGCATCCAGAGGCAGAGTCCCTAGTGGGAGGTCCCCGGACCACCAGCTTATTACTCTCAGATATGTCCCAAGACTATAATCGGCTTCACTGAGGCATTGAGCGACACAACGGA